CCTCTCTCCAATTCAGGATCTTACTGGGACAACAGGAGAAGGATGAGGAATTTCCGCCTTAAACCAGTAAAAAGGGAAACATTTAAGGTCTCTTCTTCAGTAGGGCCACTTCCACACTCAGTAGTGCACTGCTAGTATGGGTGTGGCTATATAGCCAGCTCCTTATTAGCTAGGTTGGCTAGATTACCCAGGTTACCATGATTTAAGATGTTTGGTTTGTTGTTGCTTTTTAAAAGGAAAATCTATTTACTGTATTCTTATATTGCACTGTTTAAATTTTATATTATTTTTGTTATTTCCTCACTTTATGAGAGAAGACAGCACATGCTCATAAAGGGTTCCTACAGTGATCCAGCTCTGTTGGCAAGGCAGTGTTGGCAAAAGTGTGAGAGAACACAGCCTACCACAACTGAAACAAGTGGTTTGGTGAAAGGAGCTTCTTTGTCATGACTTGCGTTTCCAGAAGGGGGTTGTTCAGCCTTGTCAGAGAACTCACTCTTCACACACCTGGCACAGAAAGTTATTCTGGTCTAACTGTGCTGGCATAGTCAAAGCAAGGCAGCCTCCTCACTATGGAAACACAGTTTTCCTATGATAGAACAGTGGACTTCCACACTATCCTAGCATAGGGGGCAGAAGTAAAAAGCCATATTGGTGTAATCTCCTTTATAGTCATGGAGCTTTCTGCAAATTAAGGCTTCTTCTAGCAGAACTGTAAGTAGGGTGTATATCTGGAGGCTGATCACTGGATATAGGTAATTTCCTTTCAAACATAAAACATCAGCCATCTGCAGAATTGCTGCAATGGGGAGCATTTATATGATTGTTCTACTTGCCCTTCTATTATCCATGTGCATTTCAGAAATATTGGCAGGGAAATATTTTTAACATGGATGCCCAGCTAGAGTCAAAGTCTCCTTTGCCAACAGTTGTGGTACTGTGAAGGTTTACAGTACCTGTGAACTAACCCCTGCATACTTACACAGTATCTCATATTTGGGATACAGTGTTTTACATACTTCCTGGCAGAACTCTTCTATAAAGCTGCACACTGAGGAAGGTGTACAAATGCCAGGACTGTTTTTTTGCTAGGTAACACTGGAAAGGAAGTCATCTTTATCCCCTTTCTTACCATGTCCAATTAACCTGTTTGTTGAGCAAGCCAAGATTTGCTCCTAGAGATGATACCTCTATTTTTGTTGCTACCTGTTTGAAAAACCTTTCCAGCAACTGAGTCAATGCTTTCTAGTGATACTTTGCTTTGAGGAGAAAAAAAAAATAATAAAAAAATTTGTTCTAAAGACAGAATTCTGGAACCCTGACATTTCATGTGAACTGAGGGTTTCTGTGCATCCTTACCAGTTTACTTCATCGTGTTCTTTTTCAGCTCTTTTGCCCACCTCTCTTACTCTTTCCATGTCTTTTCTAAAATCCGTCAAGTGTTTCAAAGCGTCAAATTTTTCCCAACATCGTTCTTCCTGCGTTCTACAAAAAAAACCCCCACAACCCTAGAAGTTAAAGCTGTGTTTTAAACATTACCATACTTCTGCATAGTTGGACGAGGTTTTGCGCAACCTGATCTAGTGGTAGAGTTCCCTGCGCATGGCAGGGGGGTTGGAACTTGATGATCTTTAAGGTCCTTTCCAATCTTAATTATTCTATGATTCTATGAACATTGGATACATTTACTTTGGACATTGTAGTCATTTTCACCAAAATAAGAGACCTCTGTATTATTCAGCATAACTTCAACTCTTCTCACAGTAACAGTTGAAATGTCCTCTCTCAAGATCTTTTCCTAGATCAGTGACATTTCTACCTTGTTGATCAGCCAAAGCCTGTAATAGTTTTCCTTTCACCCAGAAACTGTGATGATTGTGCTCATTCTCGTTTCTGTAAGCACCAGACATGAGATCCTTCTGTATATTGCTGTTCAGATGGGTGTTTTTTATACCACACCCACTGCCTCTTCCTCCTTTTTTCCATTCTTCAGTTCTGTTTTGTACTTTACATTTTTTCTTGTCTCCAGAGTTTTGCTCATCTGGAGCTGGGTCCTTATTTTCTTCCCTGAGCAGCTGCTGTGCCTGCATAGGGAAGTAATCATTCCAGCATCTTGCAGTATGGAATGACAAGTCAGATAGAAACTTAAAAATAACTTGCAGTTATTTTACCATTCTCCTTACAGCCACACAAGCATAGTCTGTTTGAACAGCATTTTGGAGATAAAATACATAGTGCCAAACTGAGGTTTCAAGTAACTTATTGCAATGAAGAGCAGATGTTTTTGTTCTAGCATAGTAGCATGTCCTGTAGGAATGCATTCAGGAGCCCAGTCTCTAGGTCAAAATTCTGGCTCAGGCACCCTGTTCTACCTCTCTTCTGTTGTATTTAAAATATTATTTTACCCTAAATAACTTCAGCTGTTCTGTTTGGTTTTAAGCAATGGATAACTGATAGATAGTGGAGGTTGCATTTCACTTTAAGTGTTTTGATTCTGAAATCCAACCTGGCCTTAAAAACCTTCAGGGATGGGGCATCAACAACCTCCCTGGGCAACCCATTCCAGTTCCTCTCCACTCTCAGAGTGAAGAATTTCTTCCTAATATCTAACTTCAATCTCCCCTCTCTCAGTTTAAAACCATTACCCCTTGTCCTATCACTATCTTCTCTGATGAAAAGCCCCTCCCCAGCTTTCCTTTAGCCCCTTCAAGTACTGGAAGGTGCTCTAAGGTCTTCCCAGAGCCTTCTCTTCTCTAGGCTGAACACTCCAAGTCTCCCAGCCTGTCTTCATAACAGAGCTGCTCCAGCCCTTGGATCATCTTGGCCCTTCTCTGGATCCTTTCCAACAGGTCCATATCTTTCTTGTGCTGAGGGTACCAGAACTGTACACAGTATTCCAGGTGGGGTCTGACCAGACTAGAGGGGCAGAATCACCTCCCTGGCCCTGCTGGCCACACTTCTTTTGATGCAGCCCAGGACACAACTGGCTTTCTGGGCTCCAGCACACACTGGTGGCTCATGCCAAATTTCTCATCTACTACCACCCCCAAGTCCTTCTCCTCAGGGCTCATGAGGATGCTGCTGCATGTTTCAGAAAAACAATTTCTGAAAAGTCATTAAAAAATCCAGAAAACTGCTGCAAATATTTAGTCTGCAATATTTTTTTTTGTACACTGGTAGTCATAAGACTTTTTCTCATCTACCCTATACTCTTATTTTCACTTCAGTCCATATAAACACATCTTTAAAAGGCTTGAAGACAAGTCCTCAATCTGGTGAGCAGCAAGGTGTGTGGTGTTTTAAGAATATACGGTCTCTTCCTACCTCTCAAGACTCTCTAAAGTATCATGTAAACCAGCAGCTGCTTCTTCACGTACTTCTGTGAACTTCTGCCTCATATCAGCACACAAGTTTGATTTGCTTTTAACGAAAGAGCTGTAAATAGAACAGAGAAAACTGAAACTAGCATCCTGTGGTGACCATTTTGTGATAAGCACCTATGGTGCTCAGAACATACAGCAATGTGAACCTACATAAATTTTGGGTTGTTCTTATTTCCAGTAAAACTCAAATTTAATAAAATATACAATGTTTTTATTTACCAAGCTTATGAAAAAAAAATGATGGATAAGAAATGGTAAGTTATAACAAATTTGGCTTTTTACCATCTTACTTCCAGTCATATCATTCCAGGAAAGTGTCTTTGCATTGCATTGGCATGTACTACAGGTTCTGCAAGGTTTCACTGGCCTGATCTGGGCTCGTGAAATAAAATTCTCTCCAACATTTGCATAACAAATACTTTCTACACATAGAAATGAGTTTATGCAGCATATAATGTGCTTCAAAAGCAGATTTGTACCCTTACCTCTGGTTTCCAGGCCTCTGCTTCCCTGATAGATTCCCTTGGTCCTTACTGATTGGCCCCTTTGCCTTGTAATTCCTCTGAACAACTGGCAGACTGTAAGACACAACAAGATTTAAAATAACGTGAACGGTGCCTTCTCCAGAACATGAAAAAAATCTACAGGTGCTGATAAAACAGTCTTAATATTACAAACTTGCTGGAGCTGTCCAGGTACAACATTTCTCTTGACCTCAACTCCAGGGAAGAAATGCTTCAGCAAAATCTAATTGTAAGAATGGTTTGTTGTGTTGATCTTACAGCTGTGAAAACCATGACTGAACTGAGTAATGAGGGAACACAGCTACTGTAAGCTTAGCTGGAAAATCCAGTGGTAGAAACAGAAACAATTCTACAGGAATAAGGTAGAACATTGTTTTTTCTACAAAGTTGCTGAAGCATAAGATCTCTCCTGCTTCCAAAGGAAAGATTCATGAGGTATTGTCCAGAAAATACACACTGCTTGCACAGCAGTGAAATGGGCTATTCTGCCACCCATACCAAAAAATGTAAATGTCATCTGAATTCACTGAACAGTGAATTCAGTTGTTCAGGGGAGGGAAAAAAAAATTAAAAAAGCATAAACTCTGTGCTGATGAGCTGCTTCTGCCAGTCATTCAGAAACCCAGTGGGTAACGTACCGCTGCGGTTCAGTCTTCTTAACCACATCATCTTGTTTATGGAAACCTTTTGACACCTTTTGTATTATCTGTAGGGCTGATAAAAAAAATAAACTGTAAAAGCACATCAACTCAATAGCACATTCCTTCTCTGTGTGGAAAGGATTTCACAGATGCCGGCCTGAACGAGACATCCTAAAGAAATCCGGTGTTTACAAATTCTAAAAAGCAAAGTTTCTTCCAAAAAGCAGCTTTTTAAAGAGGTTTCAAGATAGGTACCCAAATACAAAAGCAACCAATTTATTAATCACTTTTGAAAACAAACTTTGCTTGTTCTGCAGAAATTTGGTGTGTCATTGATCTGGTGTCACAGGAACTTGTGAACAGGCAGTCTCTAATCACTTTTTTCCACGCACTCCATGATGTTACAGATCCTTGTATTCAGCTGTTTCTTTTCTGCACTGAAGAGATCTACTTTAATTAATTGGTTCTCACATAGAAGCTATTCTGCATCTCTAACATACTCCACCACCTTTTTTTTTCCCCAGACTTTACTATTCCTAACACCAGTCTGTCTGAATTAGAAGGACTGGAACTGAAGAGGCACATACAAAACATTTGTATTTTTATATAACATGGTTTTCTTTGTCTTCCACTTCATTCTTAGGGTGGTTCTTGCTTTTTTGATAGCTACTCAGCATTCACAAACTATCCCAAATTACTCCAAGAACTCCTTCCCAAGTGGTAATTTCAAGTCTAGCAGAGCATGTCAGCCTAATAACGACAATATAAATATAAATTAAAAGGCAATTAGCAGTACTAAATGCTAATGTGCTTTTCTGGTCCAGTTTTACTTAGAAGGAAGGCAAAGAATTAAAATTACCTAGATTTGTACTGAAATGTATTGCAGGGCTAACAAATACATTATTCCGTCAGTTCTATCAGACACAGGAAATCACTGATGGATGAGCTGGAGAAATACAGAGTAAGAAACCTCCAAGTTAAACACAACTCCCTAAGTTAGATAGTTATATATTTAGTGGATCAGTTGGTTATCGCAGAACAGTTTCACTGTTTTCACCACCTGTTGGACTTTATAGATGTGGATGACAGTCTGACTATACAACTGCTGTAACTGAATATTAATTAATACTCTCAATATTCACATGGAATTATATTGTCTTTAAATCAATTTGCTAATGAGGAGGGCACAGAGACTTCTACTAAGTTCCACATGCCTGAAGAGAAATAAACTGGTAAATCTAGCAATGTCTTTGACATAGGTTCTCCCTAGCAACACAGAAAGTAAATTAATTTGATATTGGCAGTCAAGAAAAGTAACTTACAGGGGAAAAGTTTTTGCTCTTTAGCTTGTGCTGACTTAGTAATAAAATCAGCCTCATTAACCTCGGTAGTGTCTTCAGAGCAAAATACAGTAGAAGTTTCACTGCCACAAAGGGATTTAGCACAGAGAGATGACCGACTGCTATGTGGAGAGAGATCTTGAGTAGGTGTCCTCTTTATCTTCTTTTTAAGTGGACTGTATCGTGCCTTCCGGAGAAATTTCTGTGCATAGAAGAAAAAATTATTAGAATGGAAGGTTTTCCATAGCAATTTGATGACAAAGAATCATATTTCTGCAACTAATTCTAAATTAGATGTTTCTGGATCTCCTGTAACCTCAGAGATATTTTTCCAGTGACTTCAAACAAGCTAGTGATGCCTTGGGTACGACCTCCTTCATTTTGTTACTCTTCTCCAGTACTCCTCTGCTAGAGTGTTAATGCCAGCAGATTAAGCTAATTTGTAAACACTGCAGCTGCAAAGAGGGCTGGGTTACAAAGCAGCCTTCTCATGTACAGGAAAGAATAGGTCAAATAGGTTTGATAAATGTTCAGGTCTCCTAGTATCCAATAACCTGGCAAATTAATTTCATGTGTCAGGAGTGTAAAGTCTGAAAGCAGACTGAATTCTGCAAGCTTGATAATCAGAACAATATCTAGTATAAAGCAAGTGTCTTTGAAGAGACCAAATATTTTGATTTTCATATAAAATAGGAAGAGTGGTGTTTAAGTACTATTAGGGTAAATGACAGAACAGAAATTGTCATTAATTCATGGAGGGGAAAAAAATACCTCAGCAGTGTGAACAAGTACTGCTACATGACTCTGCGTCATAAAAAGGGGGGCAAACACAAACAAGATGCTAGTTGTGTTTTACCCAAATATTTAATTCTCACATCAATAGTTATTACTAAGACCATGTCAAAGTTTCAATCAGCTACATCCTGCTCTTCCTGTTTTCGAGTATCAAATTGTTACTATTCAAAACTTAGAGACACAAGTAGTCTGCAGACACAAGATCCAGAGCAGAAAATGTGGTATCACAGAGTTCAATTAAGCAACAAAAAGGAAGACATTTACAAGGAAGTTACCTTCGTGTTTGTAGTAAAGAGATCCCACAAGTATGCTGCTAACTTTTCATCTTCCTTTTCTTCTACAGTTTTCTTATGACCACCAGGGTTCCTAATTGAAAACAATGTAATAAGTTTTCCATTTTGAGAGTCTGGATTTTATAGCAAGATTTCATGGATAGAAATAACAGCAGGTTCCTACAAGTTTGATTTGTTACACTATTGGCTAAATTAGGACCTACACTGGTCCAAAAATTTAGATTTTATATCATGTTGACAAAGGTAAATGTGGAAGCTTGCAGTACTGGCAGCTGTGGCATAACATGTCACTGCTGAGGTGGTCTCATTTATAATTTAATTTCTCACATAACTAAAGGTTTTACAAAGCAGATTAGTGTTCTAAGCTTGCTTCCTTCAACAGATCAAAAAACTTTTTGTTCAGAGGGAGACCATGTGACCCAAATGTATGCCTAACTTTTCATGGTTGCTGCGTAAGGGAGTATGAGTGTATGCAGTTCAAATGACATTTAGGGGTGGTGTTTAGAGACAGCAACAGGGAGTAGAAGGAAGTACACAACAAGAGATTGCACTTTGTTAGAACCTGGGAATGAATTCAGAGCCTTATGCATTTAAACTCTGCTGTATCTGTGAGACTTGCTGACAAAATGTTTCTTTTATCCCAGTCTATTGGTTGGTCCTCATATGTAAAGCGGTGAAAAACTCATCCACGATACATACTGGATTAATTCTTCCCTCCAGTTTATCAGGCTAATTCTATATAATGCTACTCTGCCACCTCTGTTACACATAGGCTCAGTTTGTATTGACTGAGAATACACAGAGAAACCAGAACAGCTTTGAAGAGCTCTGACCTGCAAGCCAGAGCATAAACTGTTTATCCTTTCACTAAACACTCATGCATAATTCAAATACATGTTATGTCAATGTGATTATATTGACTAAAAGTGTTGGAAACTTAAACTAATATTTACATTACACAGTATAGAAGTTCAAAAGTGATGTCTCTCTTTACTCATCACTGTCATCCATAATTGATAGAAAATGCCAGCTCCGAAATGCTGCTTAATAGCTGGCTTTATTCTGTAATTACAATGTACATGGAATTCCTCTTGAGCTCTCTGGGATAACCCTCCAAGGGAAGGCCTTGGGAATATACACACATCTATTACTACATGTATTTAATTTGCATAATTATTAACAAGAAAAGAGAAGGAAAAAAAACAAATTTTTACTCGGGTAGCTCAGTATTTTCTCCTGGTTCTGCAACTTGCAATAACAGGACCATGCTGTGCTACTGATTTGACTGTACAACTCCCTGCTGACTGCAGGCAAAGGCAGTGCAAACTTTATGTTGCATGGAACAGAATTAATAACATTTCACTCAGTTACTGCTTGAAAGAAGAGACACAATGACATATAAAGGAGAAAAGATCCCAAACGTCTTATCCTGCCTTGCGCACATACCTTGGATTCCAACAGGTTGATATAGACTGCATTGAACAGCTAGATTCATTAGTCAGAGCTTCCAAAAGCCAGTGTATGGCACACAGTTGTCGGAAAAGAGATTCACTGCAAAGAGAAGAAACAAATTAGTTATACTCTAGAATTGGATTATTAGAATGGCATCACCTTGGCTGAATACATTCAAGTATTTCTGTAGCAGATTATTTTTCTTTCTCCCAGGTTATTCCAAAATACAAAGCAAAGTACAAACAAGGTATACACAGTACAAACACTGTCTTCTCCCTCCTTCATAGGCATACTTTGTTAAGTAGGCAAGTTAAATTGTGACAGCCGTTCCTTAAGATGAGCCTAATCTTGAAAGCTATACCACATAAGCAAATTTATACAACTTAGAACTTGGTGAGGAAAGATCAGCAAAGCAAATGATGTGCTTGTGTACACACACACACAAGGTTTTCAGTAACTCAGTTGAATTCAATAATTTAAAGTTAGAATTTAACAGCTGCTATTAGTAAAGACAGACTATTTCACCATAAACTCCAGAAACTCTTAGGATATGTGTTCACCAGTTGAATGGCAGCTCTGGGTAGATGTGTCATAGGGTCTATGACACTGTAAATTTTGCTTATGTGCCACTAAAGAGGGTAGGACATAAATAGGGTCAAAAATATACCTTTTTGTTCCAGGGGGACTTGTAATCAAGACACTGGTATGAACAGGAGTGAAAGACCATAAGGTAATATTTTTTTTCTGCTTTCCCAATGTCCTCATGTGGCTGCCTTCTGCTAGAGAGAGACTGCGGGAAAGAAGAAACACCGAAGTTAAAAAAGGACTATGTGAAGTGAAAACAAAGCCCATAAAACTGTTTATTGTGTTCACATCACCACAATCCTTCTTCTCCTCCTTACATGAAAAAATACATTGATTTATTTCTAATTACTGCATTTATTATAATTTAATACTATTACCAACATGATATTGATGTTTATATTACTTTAAAATTATAAATATGGTATTATTTGTATTTATATACATATATACACTATATTATTAGCAATTAAGTATTTGTGAAATCAAATTTGGGAGCAGACAAAATAACATGACTAATCTGTTTGAGAAAGCATGCTGAGATATTGTTTGCATTCCATTCCATTTTTTTTTCTGAAGAAGGTGGTAAGTAGTAGGTCTGAACTAGGAAAGAAAGAAACCCACCCTGCAACCTAAGCCACTTACTCTGCTGAATGCAATTCTTTATTATTCTTAATGCTGTGGTCCCATGACGGGAACAAAAGCATGGCACAAAGTCAGCAGGCACAAAGTCCTTTTCTCCTCAAAGAATCAAGTCTGTGTTGGCTATGAAACTTCCTGAGTTCACTAACCTTCTATCTTCTCAACTTCCTCCTTTTTAAGCTGCACCTGAAGCATTTTTTTCATGCTTGCTAAATTTACAGCTGCTCACCTACCCATATTTTAAGCATTTTCTCTTTCTAGTTCACATAAGTAGTAATATTCTCCCTCAATATCAAATAATGACAGAAACTGGAAATTGTTGCTTTTTAAAACCCTGCCCTCAAACCACCAAAATCCCCCTCAGTTGACTCACATGTTTCTTTCATGTTCTAATCCTGGCACACCAGAATATATGGGTAGCTGAAACTCAGTTCTGCCTCTCATGCTCCCAACCTGCTGATCTGCTTTGGGTACGCTGTCCCTCTCCAGTGATTCTTGGTGAAGTATTTGGAAGTATTCTCCCCCTTGCTTCACAGAACTGATATGACCCCTGTCAAAAATCACAAGTTGATCATTATAATAAAGATACATTATCAGACTGATTAATTTCTGTTGCCCACCAACTTAAATTTTAACAGAGATTTCACATTCTTCTGTATCCAAGAGAATTTTATTACCATTTCCTTCTGCAATATGATAATGAAAGACAATTCTCCATTATGAACTGGGAGATCTTTCACTTACCTCTTTCAGCACCACACTGGTTGACTACTGCATGTCTCAAACTCAGCATCACTTTCTCCATTACTTGATTTAAGAACTCCCTAATTCTAATTTATAGCAGTCAATTGACCACTGGGCCCCTCAATGTCTTAGCTCCAGTGTTACAGCCTGACAGGCACTGCCCTGAAGCTACCTGTTAGCTTTTTAACTTCACTTGCTGTCAGAAGGCTGCACTGTCAGAAACAGGGAGTTGCCAGTGTCAGTAAGCTGAAGACAACAGGCAGGGTATTGCTGCAATAAGGAAACCATAATGCCCTGGAGAATGACAAGAGGTTAAAAAAAAAAGTGAGCTAGGGCAGGGAAAGTGATACAGCACACAATTACTCTACTGTGTGCTAGATATCTCTGTACTAACTTTGGAAAAGGAAAAAAGAAAAGAAAATAAGATGTCCCTGATAAGAAATGCTGCATGCTTTAGAAAAACATAAGGATATCAGGGTCATGTCAGACTGCCTTTAATGTTTTTCCTGAGAATCTAGTCTTTTGCATAACAGACTTCTCTTGGAATATTAGATGTGTAATGGCCTCGCATTCTTGCTTTATGTTCTTTTACAGTAGTTTTCTGTCTCCTTTTGCCAACTGTCAAGATTATTTGTATATAAAAATATTTTTCCCTTTCATAGTGCTTTTTCTACATTTCTGCACACACTAATGTAAGAATTCCTTCTTAAAGATAAAACCCATGCTGCAGCTGTATATTGTAGTGCCACAAATAATGAACAACAAGGTTATTACATTAATCTTAAACAGGTGGTAGACAAAGATAATTATAAACTAGAAAGTTACTTTACACTAACAGCCATAAGCAGTATCACTGGAGAAAGATGCATAAATGGCCAGTACAACCAGTATATTTTTTAAAGGCTTATCTAGTATAGAAGGCTTTAATATGTGTATACCAAAATCAATGATCACTCTCACAGACCAATAGGAAAAGGAAATGTTATGCACACTTGTGAATGAACATTTTTAGTCTATAACTTCAAGTCCCATGGTATTACAAAAAAGTATCTCTACAGTCTCCAAGTAAGGAAAAAAAAAAGCCACAAACCTGAAACAGAAATGCAGTGTATAGAAAAGCTGTAATAATTACCCGATTTAAACAAAAAGCACTCTTGTAATTCCACGTAATTATTTCTGGAATATTTATGAATGACCATGAAAGTTCATAGACTCTTGTGAGGAAAACAGTAGAACAAATCCAAACTTAAACTACCGTGTGCTTTTCTACACTATAGATTTATGGTGTATAGCTGGAATAGGACAACAAGTATTTCTCCATTTAAATTCCAGCATCACGATACCCTGTTTATATAATAATTTAATAAATTTAGCCTGGTCTGACTATATGACAATAGGTGAGAATCATTCCTTAAAATGCAAATGTAATAGATTAAATTTGGAATGCATTATTAGAGTAATTGAGCTTCAGTCAACTGTAGTCACAACACAGATTTTCAACTGCTGTTCAACTGAAGAATCAGTCTTATTTTTGTACATTAATATGTTTGCCAGAATGAAAATTAAGAGCTTCTTGAGCAGTAATGATGTACCATGGAACATTGAGGTTCTCTCTACAGGAATGTATTATTATAGATCAGGATCTATGACCTGCACAAATGAGTGACCCGGTAGTCTACTACACATACAGAAAATTGGTTGAGGGTGTTGCACACTAAGTATCAGTTGGGCACTGCTTGACTTGTTGCACTAGTGACAAACTGAATAGTGAGCTAAGGCTTCCCAGGTCAAAGACAAGTGCAATTTTATGCATAATGCCACTTAAAAGTATTCTAAGTAAATATTTTCTACAGCAGAAAAAGAAAACAACAATCAATCTCTGAACAAAGCACAGAAAGCAATTACTTGGGAACTACAGTAAATACAACAAAACTGTATTTTGAACATTACAGACTAAAAACATGTATTAAAAACCAGCATAACTCTTCTAAACTAACACTTAGCATTATTTGCAGCCATGCCAGCGTTATCTGTAATCCCATCACAAGTCTCAAATGAGACTGATGAGTATCTGGATCCTGAAGAATTCAAAGAAATATCCAATGAAGGAAATGGTGAGAGCAGGGAGCTGTCTTTGTTTGGATAAAACTTGCAGTCTACATCCTTACTTAGTTTGAGGGGGCTCTTTAGTACCAGAGGGTCTGTCTTTTTGAACATATAATAAACTGGAAGTTCTGATAACCTGAAGTTATTAAGGATCCTATGATAATCCCTGCAGGAGCACAAGCCTTAATACTTGCATTCTCCTCAGATTTCAATTGAGTACCTGTTATTGCCCTCACTGCTGTTTCAGTTGGAATAAGGACACTTGATCATTCTAGTTCCCAAAACAACTTTGTGTGTTTATGTGCATTAACACACATCACACTCCACATGAGCTGCTGCTGCATAGCTCAAGTAATTCTTACATGTCCCTTCACTTTCTGACAAGGTGCTGTAACGCCTAAACAACTAATAATTGTGAAACAGCAGGAAATGCTAAAATAAAATCCATATGCACACAGTGCTTTTGTTATTTACAAAGCACATACAGAACAATAGGAAAGCAGACTCTGCATCTCTTGTAAATTGTCAAGTAATACCCATCTATACCAGTGGAGAATCTGTTCTGTTCTCTTATCCATAAATACTGGAGGTGCTGACCATTTCACTTAGCTTTTTAGTGCTTTACATTCAACACTAACATATACCTATGCCCATATATCTCAAATTTATTCACATTAGAACTGCTTCACACCTTTCCTGAACGATGTAAGGCAGTCTCATTGTAAATAAGCATTAGCGCATCGTTCATCTAAATACTCAGTGAGTTATTACAGGGTGCATATACTACCCACCTTCTGATACTACCAAAAGTCATAGAGGTAAGTTTACATGGTAGTGAGCCTGAGTAAGCAAGTCCGATTACTGAGCTCCACATTCGGGTCATACCCTGAGAGCTTGACAATGAGGACAGAAAAAGCTTGCAACTATTCACAATTAACACATAGATGCTAATGTAAATCATGAATTCTGGTTTGGTAGTGTTTACAGTCAAGTTAGAGATGCAAAATTTTACACATGAGGCAAGGGAGAATCAGGAACACGCTGGTTACTGCTCCTATTTAATGGCTGAGTACACATTAAGAACCAAGTGGGTAAATATTCATACATCTAGTCATCTTAAATTCAGTGAAGACCAGGTGGTAATGACATTAAAATCTATTAAATGTAGTTAATAACCCATAGAAACTCAGGCATATGTGATCATTTACCATACTGAACCATTAAACATTCTGGCAAGGAATTGAAGTAGTGTTGTATCAACATCTGTCTTGAGTAGTTGAAGACACACAATCTGGAATACCCACATTATTTCAGAAGTAGGTTCCCATTTTATTCTCCTACATGAGTAAAATATTCTCTACTCAAATGTCTCTTTTTGAAAAACAAAACGTGGATCTGCATATTATCACACAAAAATCTGACCATTAAATAAGCCAAGAAAAAAAGCAAGGTTAAAATAAGACACCAGTAAATTTCTGGTACGTTCACAGAAGGTTGTGCACCTGGAAATAAAGATTATCAACAGCCAAACCAACAGCCCACACTATTACAAAAGATGTCATCAGGTGAATGTATTAATATATTGCTGCATATTTAAAGATGTCTCAGGTTTTCAATTAACTACAAAGACATCAAAATAGAGAAGATGCTGCTTCCATTGTGAAATTGTGGCAGAACCTCTACTTTGAAAATGCAGAGAAGTTCTCTAACATTGAGAAACACAAACACATTTGGCTACCTGGAGGCACTAAAAAGCAATGTATGAAAAAAATGGCTTATTTTTAGTTGGCAATGTGCTCTTCTCAACCTAGAAAGAATCAAGGGCAACAATTTCTCAACTAAGAAGTCCCAGAACACAAGAACATGTTAGCCCACACCTCCACTTCTGCCATGCTGCAACTCCTATTCCTGTTATCTCCATATAAAAGTTTTCCTTGTGGGTAGGCACACGTAGGTTTTCAACTCCTGGTGTCTCTGGAGAAGTACATAAACACAGGTAAGTGGGGGAAGTACTTCCAGAGCAGTGCAGACAGCTTTGTACTGAGATAAAGGGCAGAAAAATCAATCTGTGTAATTTCAAGGCTTTGCTCTCAAAAAAAACCAACAAACAACAAACAAAACAAACCTGGGGAAATTACTAGAACTGCAAAAGAAAAAAATAATTAGGAAATTTCTGGGCTTTCTATTTGTTTGCTGTAAGAAAACACACCAATAACTTTATGTTCATATTAACACTAAAAAAGCACAGCTTGTCAAGTGGGACTTCACTGAGGTCCCTGATCCTCTGCCAGGAAATACTGCTTGCTCAAGATTTTCCTGTGAAAGTAGAATCAACTCCTCAGAATCTAGTGTCTTGCCATACCACATAAAGATATTCACAGAGCGATGACATGTTAGTACTAAATAATGAAAAACCCATTTTAAGTGTTAGCTTTGTTCAAACATGCAGTGAAAATGTGTCATTGCATATTATAATAGTGGGATTAGGCTGTTTAGATATTGAAATGTATTAAGCAATGAACTATTTCCACTTATGAAATTTCAAACATCAACATATTTTTGCACAAAAGGAAAGGAGATGGAGACTCAAATAAACAGCCTGGAAAGGCAGAACTGTTGATGGGAGTAGCAGTCTTTCCAGTGATTGATGACCTTGATGACCAAGATAACGATTCATACATCCATACACTTAAATGGTTGTCTTTGCCCAGAACTGCTGTCTAATTAATGTGAGCCATCATTCATGTAGCAGAAAATTTTTGCTTCTGGTAAAAAAAAAAACAACGCAGCAAATACCAGTGTCAGTGCTAGCAACATGCCAATTAGAGTGATATCTGCCAAGCAGCAAAGGACACAATAGGCTGGTTTCCAAGCAACTGACATTATGAAGTATTAAATACATTGAAAACTAATATTGGCAGATAAACATTTCACCTTCTCAGTACTGCCTCACTCTCCTGTTTAACTCTACGCTGCCTCTTCACCCTGCCCTTCGAGACTCCATGTATCTTCCAGTAAAATTTTGCATTAAGGGATGCCAACTTATCACAACCTCTAAACACGTCTTTTTGTTACAACAGGATTGGCACAGATTCACAGGTATGGACAGACAAGGTCATAACCAAAACTCCAAAAGTAACACTTCTCTTGCTATTTAAAATCTTTTGGTAGTAGCTGCCATTTCAACCACTAAATTTAAACAGTTTTGTTTTAAAGTCAGCTACATAGCCACTAGCTGGAAAAGAAGCAGGAGAAGCTTCTTCTCAGGTAACAGTCTTAACTGTTGCTGCAGGCATGAAGAATGCATTAATAGAGGCTGGGCTTTCTGCAGCAGAGTGACTTTTAAAGATCTGCCTTCAGGAAACTTCAACCATTCTAAAGAGCCATTCAGCTTCTAATTTAAAACATAAAAAGCCACTTCAGTACTATTAAACTGCCAGCAGTTTGACATTTAGTCTTATTTAACTGGCACAGCAAAACAGGTGCACAGGAGCCATTTTCTTCAAACTACGGGAAATGCAATGCAGAGGTTTAGCATGCCCTTTTGGCAAGTAGGGACTTGACTGGTTCGTGCAATGACATGGACATGTTCCCTGTGGGCTTGCAGCTCAAAGCTGTCAATTCCTAGACCATTGGCTGAGGATGACCATAACTTGTCATTTTATATGGGCACCTATGCTTAGATGGCTGTTACTGCACAGTGTTTCCAGGTTCTATCACCTTTCCTAACTCCTTTTTACACAAATATTTTCAAGCTAGTCTTGTTTGAAGCACCATTTTTTGTGGCAATATTTAACAGGAGTACTTCCAGTACACTTGCACTGCCTCAGTGGCTGAGTTAGTCTACAGAAGTGATTTATGGCAAGCTGCTTATACTACGGGATTAACAACTACAGGCTTTGGTCATCTCCTGCTGGGTAACTGTTCCTACATCTTGCTACAATTTATAGAATTTTATCTACAGAATTCCCACACAATTTTTCATTTTATGCTGCACAAAGATGAAAAAAATTCCTACCTACATGTTAATGCTGTGTTTAGGTTAAATGATACTGGAGAGCTGACAGGTGTCTCCCTAAAGTGACTGGGTACAACTCATCAGTAGGAAGCACTGGTATGACTTTGTACTTGAGACTGATTTATATTTCTGAAGGATGAGCAACCTCTGCATTCTGTCATCATCCGCTTTTATATCATCATGAGGACCCAAGCAAGTACAAGGAAATATACTGAGAATAGGTATGAGGTCATAATTATGAGGTTTATCTGCAGTTTAATTATGCTTTTAACATGTAAGGTAGCATTACGAATGCAGCTAAGTCTGTTCTGGTAATGACTCTTCAAATATTTTTGAGATAATTTTAAAAATCATACTACCATGCTATGTCACAGTGATCATTAAAAAACTTCCTCAGTTTGTTCATTATACTCTTTCATACAAACAAGCTGCAAGATCACAGACATCACTTCTTGTGAATATGTATCAATTAACATCCAATTAAGACAAGTGCTGGGTGTTGCTTTTCAATCAGGAGAAGGAAAAGCAGAAAAAAACAAACCCACAAAGGTCATTTGTATTCACTGATTCCCTGTAGTATGTATCAGCATGATGCACTGCTAGCCTGACTAAAGCAGTAGAGTTAAACAGGAGAGTGAGGCAGCACTGAGAAGGTGAAATGTTTATCTGCCAATATTAGTTTTCAATGTATTTAATACTTCATAATTAAATTAAATGAAAATTAAATTAAATTGAAATTAAATGTTGCTGCCCTGTAGAAGAAAACTCCAGTTTTACTCTTAATCTCTTGCATTTGCCTTTTTTTTTCCTAAAATAGCTCCTTTTGTGTAGCCTGAAATAGTTAATAAGAATTATTGCTGACTTGTCTTTTGGTCCAAACGGGCAGAGTAGTCATTCTCACTTGAAATTATTTTTTCCTGCAACTTCACATGTCAGTATTTGGTTAAAAGTAGGTTTGATTTCTTTGCTTTTTGTGTAACTGCTCAAAATGAATGGCTAGGACATCTTAATTGTTAAAAGGTCGTAAAAAAAATTGGGGCAGAGAAGGATAAAAGAATGTGAAATATAATGTTGAGTAACTATTATATAATTTAGAAATGGATGTAAAAATGCAGGGACACTTAAACTACTTTATTGTGAAATGTAAAGTTCTGATTCCTCTTAGTTTTCAATGTATTTAATACTTCATAATTAAATTAAATGAAAATTAAATTAAATTGAAATTAAATGTTGCTGCCCTGTAGAAGAAAACTCCAGTTTTACTCTTAATCTCTTGCATTTGCCTTTTTTTTTCCTAAAATAGCTCCTTTTGTGTAGCCTGAAATAGTTAATAAGAATTATTGCTGACTTGTCTTTTGGTCCAAACGGGCAGAGTAGTCATTCTCACTTGAAATTATTTTTTCCTGCAACTTCACATGTCAGTATTTGGTTAAAAGTAGGTTTGATTTCTTTGCTTTTTGTGTAACTGCTCAAAATGAATGGCTAGGACATCTTAATTGTTAAAAGGTCGTAAAAAAAATTGGGGCAGAGAAGGATAAAAGAATGTGAAATATAATGTTGAGTAACTATTATATAATTTAGAAATGGATGTAAAAATGCAGGGACACTTAAACTACTTTATTGTGAAATGTAAAGTTCTGATTCCTCTACAGTAATACATGCAAAAGAGCTATTTTTTGCTAATTATCTTGACTTTTATGCAGTTAATCTCAGTTAAACAATACAAGAGATTAATTTGTCTTCAACATACCATAGTGATACAGTATCACATGTTCTCTTAAATGCTACATGGGCTTGGATTTAACTTACTAAGTTTTTACATAGCTGGTTGTCTTACCGCTGGTTTGCTTTAATTCAACTATTTTTATCTAGCGAATGCTCTTCACAGGCTTGACATCTAGGAACCCTATAAATACTTGTGAAGTCTACCCTGCTGGGGCTGGTAGCAGTAATTTGTCAGTTTTATTTGTAGCAGACTGTAACTAAACTTTGCCAGATATAACTCATCTTTTTGTACTGCTGCTTGCTGTTTCAGTTGCAAATGAAATCTCACTTCATAGCTTAGCACTCACATCAAGAAAGCTAGGAGGTTTCAGGAAAACTTAGAAAACCTTGGAGCCACCTACTGCAAGGCTTATTATGCTGTTTAGCAACTGTTTAAGCTATTACTGAGCAAATAGAGTGAATGGTCTCTGTAGGCACGTTTAGAGTGCAATCAGAATGCATGATTGCAATAGAACAGCATATTGAAACCTCTATCTTGTCAATTTAACCAGCACCTGCAGTGACAATGGTGACACATGGATGTAACACAGCTTAAGTACATTTAACAGTAAAGCCTATTCCCAAAAGGCCTCCTTGTTTTTTGTTTTTTTTTTTTCTGTTATTATTTTTAAACTTTTTTAAAGAGAGAACTAAGAAATGCTCTGCTGGAAACAGCAGCTTTCTGTGTCTAATGGCAATAGAAGATACTTTCCAAGAAAACCATGCACACCAAGCTACTTTATTTGGTCAGTTCCACAATGCAAATAACAGTTGCTGTCCAAACTTAACTGGCTAAAAGGTATTTAGGATTCCAAATCCATGTCCTATTATAACAGCTCACTGTCCATCAGGTAAGAGACACAGAAACCTATTCCTTCTATGTCAGCATCTCCGTGAGACTCAAGCTGGTATATCCCAAGTTAGTCCATGCTGATATTTCTTTAATAGTGGTAGATATTGTAATTATGATTTTCCATCTCATAACAGACATACTGTCCTAACATTGCCCATTTTTTACTACTTCATTCTGGCACAACACTGTGTCATGCAAAAGACTGTAAAAAAGACATAAAAGCACCTTTATACAGAACACTAACAATATAGAATTTATATCAATTAATCATTCTTCATACAGCATTGGAAACATTTTGAATATACATGAAGCCTACAAAGGAAGAACTGCAAACCACCTTTTCTAAGCTGTTAGTGCGGTTGACTATTTTGCCTGTAATCTAACTGCTGCCACAGCAGAACCAAAGATTTCTTTAGCCCTGGCTGGCTCATTTTTGTGTGCTTTGGATTCCCTTACCTTGAGCGAGCAAAAGCTTTACCAAGAGTCTTCAGATCCTTTCCTCTTTCTCTAGATGGGGAGGGCCTCTTCACTGGTTCCAGTGAATCAGACTGAAAGTGATCACATTGGAAATGAATGCCTCAGTATTAATTAAGAAAAACTTAGCATAGAGAGGTATGTGCAGTATCAGGGTTCAGTTTTAATCACCACATGTTTTCTGAATTGGTCATCTGGGACAGCATGGTGTCATTTCACAAGCATGCAAACAAGCCTTATATGACACCATCATGCATGCCTGTGTGTACATGTATTTTAACAGCTTTTAAATCGGTGGCTGATTTCAAGTTTGACAGAGATCTGCCACTTGTGTTTTCTTCCTTAAAGAAAACTTTACAAAAAGAATTTTAAAAATTTGTCAGTCTTAGCTGTCAGTTTTCTTATAACTGGAAATGTACCATCCTCTTTGTTCACATTTTATTATTATTTTATTAAAAACCACTATTAAATCAGCTGCCTGGCATTCAGTTTTGTTCTAAAGACAAAGAAAATGGATCAGATTTTAAATAAGCTAACAAAAACAACAGGACGAAATTTAAATCTTTCTGCTGCATTATTAAATAAATTTCAGGCAATTTGTTAAATGCATCAGAGAAATTAAAATGTGTTTAAATTCCAACTTTTTTTGCTTTTAAAAGACCTGAATTGCTTTGGGATAGACAGCCACAGATTAGACTATAACTCAACATTGTTGCAAGACAACATATGCTTGGGTAGTCTTGGATGAAACTCACCACAGTAACTGTTCCCTACTGACCAAAGAGGTGGCATTTAAGTAAATGATCCCCAAATATTTTCAATATTTAAAACTGTAGGTTAAGGTCACACCAGACAAATGCAGAAAAGCTAGGTATATGCTAGATCTTCAACAACTGTTAATTTGTGCAGCTCTACATAACACACAAATTAACAGCCCTTTCTTTCAGCTTCAGGTTTTGGAGATCTAAGGATGTGCAATATTGACCCATGTACTTTAATAAAAATATGATTTTTTTAAATAAAAAGTAATTTTTAATGTATTAGCTATTTCTGTGCTTAACTGTAATATAGTTTAAAGGTCTGTCATCTAGAATCAATGCATGAAATAATTAGCATAGCTAAACTGCATTGTCAGAACACTTACCATATTACAATAGAAACCTACATCTCCCTCATCAGTGATTTTTTTCTTATACCTTCAGGAGTTTTACTAAAGAAAACACGTAAGATGTAAATCAGTCAGCCAAAGGCTGGTTCCTTTTGTAGAGTAAGGCTTTAAACCTTGAATTCAAGATATCCATATGAATAATTGCAACGTGACGTTTTTCTGTTGCCATCTTTATCACCATCTTGAAGCAAAATTTCACCAGACTTACCTCTGGGTCCAAAGAGTTCTCAGTAGTAGCAACCTCAGCCACTTCTCTGGGTGGTTCTTCCTGCATATAGTATTTCACTGGTTCCTGAAGAATAAAAACAACATGTAACCATATTTGAAATGCTGTTAGTTATCCATATGCTAGCAGATAATAATTTTCAAAATTAGAGTCGTGCAAGTATTTTTTCCTATGGAGATGCAAACCAAAGCCAAAATAACAGCTAATCTCTGGCAGAAAAAACATGACTAAATCACTTCAGTGCACAAATCGATTCTCATAGAACCACCTGCTGACAAGGTACTGTGCAAAACGAATACATGCTTTGCAAATTATTATGCTTAAGTGCTTAGAAAAATGTGACTTTTTTTTCTTGGAAAACTGTTATATAGACTGCTACATCTAACAGAAAGAAAATCCAATTTCTGAAACCAGGAATGCAAGATTACTGCAATTGCTCTTTCCTGACATTACACACTGTGATAGACTACCCTTCTTGGATCTGTGCTTTCACCCAACAAGGCACAGAATCATGAAAAGCCCTGAAGTCAAACACAAACACATTTTTAATCCTCCTTCAACCATCAGTTTATTTAAGTGGAAGGAAGACATATTCCCTCCTATTAAAAAAATTACATAGGTAGATTAATAAAACCTTTTGGATCAATCAGCAGTATATCACACTCAGGCTAAAAGGATATGAAAACAGTAATACTCTTCCAGCACTAGCTGTAGATCAAAGAGCTCATTCATTGATTCCAAAAGAAGCAAAGCTGCAGGCCCTAGCAACTTGTTGCATCCATATAGTCAGGGTAGAGCTGAGGTACAAAAAAGAGAGTTGAAAGATTGCACAGCAGACTCAAAGCTGCAGATTAAGGACTTGCTATGCTCTATAGCTTTTGCACAACAGAGCAAAGCTTGGAAGTACTAAGTATTAAAAAAAAAAATAATAAGATGAAAGCATTTTGCCTGTTGGAATCTTGATTTGAGAAGGTGCAAAATTAGTTTCAAATTTATGTTTCTATGTAACATTTCAGCAAAACAAAGGTTCAAAGTTCAAGGAACAGTATCTTCACCCACTGGAAAACTGCACACAGCAATGTTCTAACACAATGACTGTGGCAGCCCACAAACAAACTGGGGCGAAAAAAAAACAAACCCAAACTCCAACACATTACTAAGAGCAAAGTAGACGGAAGAATTTTCTGCAGACAGATTATAAAGAAAAACTAAATGTCAAAGAGAAGTCTGAAGGCTCTGCTGTCACATACAGTTGAGGTGCACTTGACCAAGACTGGTCAGCAGCAGGGAGAAGATGGCAGACTGACACTACTGAGGAGCACTAACCTTACAGAGGGCCACCAAAGAACCTGAGAGCCCACCTCAGGGACTGAGAAAACCATATTCACACACTGAACAAGAGAAGAATAATTTTACAGCCTGCATGGACACTCATACCATGCCTACAGGAAATGTGAATCACAGGAGATAACTGGGGATTAGGGTAAATTCAGTATGGAGAGACAGTTACACTGAACTTCAGGGAAAACAAAATTTAAGTATTTGTCATTACATACATTTAATAATCAGTATTTGGTATATCTTTTTCTGAAGATCAAAGTTATTTATTTTAACCATGTGTAGTAAGAAGCAGATTGTGAATACCAAATGCCTTTATCTGTGAAAACAGGCTTTCAATAGTAGACTGGATTTTAGAAATAAGTTGCCCTTTAAAAAATTTTCAACATAAGTCTGAAATATTTGTAATACCTTCTTGTATATTCATGAACAAAAATTATCTAATATCAGAGTACGCTTAAAGGTAGAAAGATGCCAGATGGATGGAACAGAGGACTTCGTATGCAAAACTTCTTCAGAGAAGCTTGTCACTTTTCTCATCTCTGCTACAGCAAGAGCATGCAGCAGACTGACACTGGTGGGGCTTTTTTTTTATTGCACACATCTATATTTAATGAGAAAGCTAGAATAAATATGATTTTAACTTGGAGCAGAAGCATCTCATACTCCAAGAAAAACAGAATTTTCAATCTGTTTTACTGCTGATATTTTATTATGTCTTTTCTCAGAAGCAGCAAAATGCCAATGGTCAGGTACCATTGCTTTTACAGCTGGTGACCCCCTGCATGACAGGATCAAAACCCATCACAGATTAACTTACTATTCAAGGGAGAGAAGAGTACTGGAATGTAGCCCTAAAGTTTCAATGGTTTAAAGGCACCAGTACACTGACCACCAACAGAGGGTCTGGAGCTATTTAGATGTATTAATTTCAAGTGTTTAATACCACAGAGCACTGACAAAATTTTTTCTGAGATGCAACACTGGCCTGCATCCTACCTCTGGCCAGTCAGCTATGCCAGTTTGTGAGGAATGGAAAAAGAGCTGTGAACCTACCTCACCTTTGCACAGAGAGAGGCACCACATAGACACATGGCCCCCACCCCTCTCCAGGCACTGATAATGTGAATCAATCAGCCTGATCCCAGCAAACAAAAGGGAATAGCTTCCTTTTCTACAACATTATCTTTCATTACTACATGATGTATTGAAAAGGTGCTGAGCTTAAAAATGTAACAGTAGGTAATTAGAGAACAGTAGAAAACTATTTTTAATTTGCAATGCAGATATAAAAAAACAAGGGAGAACTACTGCTATGGCTAATTTGTTAAACTCAGCAATATGTCATCATGACACTATGAACAATCTTCGGAGCTTGAGTGCCGTGTTGGTTTTTTTTCTTAGTGTGTCTCCAACTTATGAAGATTTTCATCATCGTTCATCTAATTTGCTTTTAAGCCATCAAAAGGCCTGTTTCAATTTCCTGCTTTCATTATAATGAAGTAGCAAAATATACAACTCCATATGTAAGAAACTATTTTAAAAAAACACCATCGATATAAAAAAAAAAATCTTAAAGTGAAATTACATGAGGATATGACCAAAAAAATTGCCATTAAAATGATTAGTCATTTTTCTTGACATCACCTCCAGGAGCCCTAGGTGAAATGAACTACAGAAATATTGCAGTAGGTGGAGCTCGATGCCATCTGATTGTCTACAGCTTCACTCCTGGGGACCTGGAGGTGACCCTTTCAGTGCTATCACAGGTGCATAATGGCACACAGGAAGCCGCGGCA